GGGGCTGGGGCTGCCATCCCCTTCCTCGCCTTGTGTCAGAGACCTACGGCTTCTCGCTGGCGGGCATTCATGCTTGGGGTTTGGCCAAATAATGGGGGCTTTAATAGGGGGCACAGGGCTGCTCCCCCCCTTGCCCCGCTCCCCTCCCTAAAGCAGCATGGGGTGTAGCGCTGGATTCGAGGGAAAGCGAGTCTGTATTTTGCTCGTGGCCAGACCATCTGGCAGGAGCTTTCACCCCTGGCTCCCCACCCCGAAGTTCGTGGCAGGTATTTAACAGCCCTGTGGGCAGCCCAGCCGTGACCCCATCGCCACCTTCCTCCGTTCCCCCCGCAGGGCTGCCCCTCCGCTCCCCCTCCAACCCTTCGAAAGAGGCCCGGCGCTTGTCCGCCGAATAAATATTTAACAATGAATTGAATGGTGATTACTGTAAAATGGGGATGATTTCCTGTGTATTTTAATGTTGCCAAAATGAGTCACCATTTAGCAATAAAAAAAAAAAGTCATAAATAAAAATTGCGGTATAATTACTTTCCAATTGGATGGCCAGGCCTGGGAGGGGGGGGCGGCTCTGTGCAGCGAGGAGCCAGCCTGAGCTCACAGGAAGGTTATTTTCCTCTCCAGGTTTTTTGGGGGAAAACCAGAGACCTCCACGGAGGTGCCAGCAGCTCCGCCACACGCGCTGGAAGGGGAAAGACCCAGCCAGGCTTTTGGAGAAGCGCTTTTCTGCTTCTATTTTTAGGGAGTCATTTTGGTCTCCCTCTGCCAGGGTGGGGAGCCACCCCGGGAGGGCTGCGCGGGGCTGGGACGGGGCTCGCGTGTGCATTTCCCGGGAGCCTTCGCCAGGGACCAAAACTATTTTTCCAGGTCCTTTTCCAGGACGCTTTGATCTCATCTATTCCCGCTCTTGCTGCGTGGTTTTTTTTGTTGTTGCTGCTGTTGTTAGGGCTTGGATGTTTGCTGCTCCTTGCGGATGCACACTGCTAATGACCTGGCAGAAAGCTGCCACTGGCTTGGCTGGATTTTGGCCCTGGTGTGAAATTTTAGGATACGTGGCCAGACACCGAACGTGTCGGACGGCTGTATCATAGAGCCGCAGACTTGTTTTGTGACCTTGGCCAAATCCCTCGGTACCTCCAGTGCTGCGTTATCTTAATTTCCTTTCTCTGCGGTGATAAGCTTGTCTCTTCCCGCTGGGCGCGTGGCTCGGTTGGGTGCTCAGAGGTTGGGGCAATGGAGGACAGCCCAAAGCTGGGGGACAGCATGCCCAAAGGATCCCCCCTGCAGTTGAAGCAGTTCTTCTGTGAACCGGTTGGAGTAGGGAAGAGTCCCCAGGAAAAACGCCCGGCAGGCTGCTGGCCCTCGCTTGCATGGCCTTGGGAGGGTCTCTGGCTGAAAGCTGCCCCTTGCCAGCCGGCAAGGAAGGTGGCCACAGTGGCTCCCAAATTAGGGTGCGTGCGCTCAGGCCATGACGGCTTCCTGCCTGTGGGAACCGGGCCCGGGATTCCTGGCTGCTTGCTCACCCCGCAGCGGTGAGCCGCTCTCGGAGCATCCCCGGGAAGGAGAGCTGGGGGGAGGATGAGTAATGCCGGGCTTGGGAGGTCCGGGGGAGGCCCCGTCATGAGAGGTTTGTTCCATGCGTGGCTCGCTTTTGGGAAACCGTTAATTGAGAAATGAGTCAAAATTTGGAGGCTCAGAGCCCTGTCCGCGTTGCGGGGGACTTGCAAGTGTAGGGGGTGCGACATTGACCTGGTGTGGCGGGGGTGGCACCCATAGCCCGGAGGAGGGATGGGAGCCTGCAAAGAGGCTCCCCATAAACTCGCCTTTTTTAGTATTTATTACTCTGGCTCTGCTGCCGACTCGCTTTGAAGGACATCTTACTCCCGGTTACAGTCCGATTCAAAGCGGGAGAGGGGGCTTAAAACTCCTTGGGGACAGCACTGGCACTTTCTCAGCTGTAAGCTGGCAATTAGGGCAAGGGAGCTCGTGCTGGGTGAAAGAGGCCGGAGGCGGGTGTCTGCAGGAGGAAAGAGGGTGTCTGCGGAGGGCTCGCTCGAAGCGGAGTTGCATGCTTGGTGGGTTTGGGGGAAGGGGGACGCTCAGCATTAGGTGCTGTACAAACCCGCAGAGCCCTGGCTCAGAATTGGTTGAACTCCACAGTGCAACCGTAATACAAACAGTAAATAAAATATGTGGTTAATCTTTCTTTCGTGGGCGTATAAAGCGCTTACCTCCCCTTCCCCCCTGTGAGATGTTTTCTCCTTTGTTTCCTGTTTTTGTAGTGCTTAAAGAGGAGAGGAGAAAAAAAAGCCAACAACGCACCCTCTTTTCTTTGCTTCTTGTCATTTTGTTTGTGTCAAGGTCTCAAAACGAAACATTTTTTCTTCCATCTTTGCCTTTGCTGCCCCAGCCACGTGCCTCCTGCCTGCATGGGGGAACCTGATGTCTCCCTTGCATGGAGGAACCTCCTTCTAGGGCTGAAAAAGAAAGTTGCTCCAGCGTGAGGTTTATGTGTTGCCTTTCCCCCCGCTCCCCCCGCCTTTTTCATCCAAAAAGAAGGAAAATACAGTGCTGGGATTGGAGCATGGGCCAGAAGGCAGCAGCCGGAAAAAGGGACTTACTTGTGGGGTGTTACCGTGTTTGCCCTGTCTTTGTGTGGAACATGGTTGATTGAGGCTAGGTGCATCAGAGCTTGCCTGGGGATGTCCCAGCTGCCAATCCTCAGCTGGAGCTGCCACCACTGGGAGGGAACTTGGGTAGAGGCTCTGCTCCTTCTTCCCTTTTGTTTCAGGGGATGGAGGTAGATTTCCCTCTGAACTAGCTTGCAGTGCATTTTTGGGAAATCGTGAGAAAATCCCTCCACATTCTGAAGATCTCTGGTGGTTTTGAACACAAAGAGAGAGAAAGAGCGTCATGGTGCTGAGAGCTGTGGGGAAAACCTTGGGGATCCTTCTGCAGGTGTGTAGGAGCAGCGCCCATTCAGCAAATCCAGGGGGAGACACAGGGACTGGGCTGCTGAGTCCATCTGCTCCTCGGTGGGTTTGAGCTTGCTTTCTCGGCAACCCTCAGATAAGCCCAGCTCAAGGTGCTTTCTTAAGTATGGGAGAGAGGAGAGGTGAGCACTTGGTAGGAGCACAGGAAGAGGTGAATCCCAAGTCTGTACCAGGAACTCTGGTCCTTTGCCAGCATTGGCCACCAGCCCCAGTGCAGAGATGGCCTTGGCATCAAAGAGATGGTGTGCTTTTCCTACCTGCCCCAACTGATTGCTTCTGCGGTTCAAAAGCTCTAGGTCTCTAGAGGGAAAATACCACCAGCTTTTCTTGGCTCTGACACCAGAGACACCTTCCTGTTTGAAACAAGTCTCATGTCGCATCCATCCCCATGGTGCCATCTGTGCCGGGGATGTTTTGCTGGGACCTAGGGAGCCCCAGTGCTGGGGAGGCTGGGGTCGCCTCCACTGCCAGGCTCCTGATGTGAGCTGCTGTAGGTTGTTTTACTCTGAAACAGGTTTGGTAACTTGTGATGGGCTGGATTTTTACAAGCTTACTTATTTTCCAGATGACTTGTTTATGAAGAGCGCGGCACGCAGCTCACTGGAGGCATTGTGAGCGCAAATGCCCAAGTGCTCGAGCATTAATTTAGCTCTCATGACGGTAGATGGTGTGGGCTGGTGCCTGGCAGGCATTCCCCACGGCGCTCTTTGAACATACCTGGTCCACAGATTACTTTGGCTGTAGGTCCTATGAAGCTGGAGATGTGCAAGTTCTCCCTGTGCCCTCCAGCTGTGCCTCCACC